CGGCCATATTGGATTTTACTGACATGTCTTGCGTAATGAATACCGAACTTATTTTTCATGGGAATAAACTGTTTTTTGCATGCATGTTAACAGTTGGATCTACACAAGTTTGTAAAAAATCCGTAAAAATCCACATTCCAGACACTACCAACATTTATTATATCAATTCAACAGACATATTTTTAGTATTATCTTCTCTTCATTCTGTGAAAAGTTCATGAAGTTTGGATGAAAAATGGTGGAGTTTTCAAAAGTATAAAAGACCGCGTTTTTGAGAAAACGGGCGATAAAAGTGGCACAAAAACATGCCTGGTATGGGAATAAATGAGGGTTCTAACGCTATGAAATAGTTGAAGGACAGGATAAAGCTCAATATGCCTATAACTCAAAATCCGTAATTTTCAGCCGAATCGGGACTTTTGGGGTATAGTCCCCCCCCCACTGAAGGTATAAGACGACTTGAAAATTTCGAGCTGTTCTTTCTCAGCGTCACTACGAAGGTTGTAAACGCATTTCTAACATTTGCAAACAAGATTTATATATTTATATCTTGTTCGCAAATGTTAGAAATGCGTTTACAACCTTAGTATATATATATGAAGGCTGATGATACGAAACCCTCTTTGTGGCACCTGCACGAACCAATCATGTTGACAGTGACGTAAAACATTAAAATTTCTTTCTTCTACCAGCAATCTGGACTACGTTTTGCTCATGAGCTACGACTACAACGGCGTCTGGAACCACAAAACTGGCCACTTGAGCCCACTGTACAGCCCATCGCAGCCCGTTGGAGACGACAAATATAACAATGTCGTAAGTTCAAGATTTTAACTTTTAGGTTTTACTGCGGACAGGCATATCTTGTACATGTGATACCTAGCTTATGTTAGCGGGAGCAGAGACGTGCTATCAAAATTGTTTCACTAAAGCTTTCCTAGTGCGTGGGGTCTTTTCTGGGGAAAGTGGTCCTGTCTACGGCATAACAGTTTGGACTCGGAAGTGCGTTCAGAGCTCTGCATCGAGAACGAGCTTCTGTTCAACTGAGCTTCTGTTCTGGTAGGCCTGTAATGGGAATTTGAATAGTGTTCTCGAAATTCTAACAGCGTGCTCGAGTTGATGCGCAGAAAAAAATATTTCTGAACAATATTTAGTTTATCATCACTTGTGAAATTTAAGTGTTTTATTAGGAACATAGATTGAAATCTAGATCGCCCATATCGGCAGCCTCTGAATGTATTGTGCGTCTTATGGTTAGGTTGTATCTTGCTCAAAGATTAGTAATTGTTAGCACAAAGCGCAACTAATGTGTATATATATATATTATGTGAGGATTGAAACAAGACTTTTCCTTTTTTTTCATTGAATAATCTTTTCCCGTTGCAGGACTGGTCTGCTAGGGAGTGGGTCAAACGTGGATGCCCCAGGGAGAAGCTGGTGATAGGTATTCCTACATATGGTCGCTCCTTTACCCTGGCGGATCCCAATAACAATGGTATCGGAGCCCCGATCTCTGGCGCAGGAAAACCGGGACAGTTTACTGGCGAGGCTGGGATCTTGTCTTACTATGAGGTAAGGAATGCGAGATATGGAATGTGAGCCAGCGTCTCTGATGTAATGATTAGCACTTTTCACCTTTGCTTTCAGAAGGTAAGAGGGGGCTCTCGTGGCCTAGAGGTTAAGGTGTTGGCCTCTCATTCAAAAGGTCCCGGGTTCGAATCCGGGTAGCGACCGAAAAAAATTCTTCTCTAAATTTGTCTCCTTTCACCTCATTTCCTGCTCTCTAGCAATGTTCTGTCGTCTGCTTTCGTCTCCTCTTTCTGCCCCCACCCCCTCACCTCCGTTGCCCCTTCCTCTGGGCTTCTGATTCTTTCTGCAGCCTTTCTACTGTTACTCCTTCGCTTCTTCTTACTGCTGTCTTTCAGCCACACCCCTGTTCTTCTGGTAGGAAAGATCTACACCTAGCCTTCTCGGACAAGGGCGAAAAATCTCGGAGGGCTAAAATCGATAAGAGTAGGCTTCGGCCGCCACCCGGGCAAAATTCAAAATTTCCTACCAACTGAAAATATTAGGTGTCCCGCGCGCTCATATGACCGTATGCAGTTGCGAGCGCCGTAAAACACTTTACAAAAACAAACAAGAAGGTAAGAGTTCGATTCGCTACCGTCTTTCTGCTGTATCATTCTCGGCCCGGGTTGACCCTTAATGAACTCGCGCCTCTTAACCGATGTAAATTGTATCGATGGCGGCGTAACGTCTTTATTTTGAAATTGTTATCACTGGGGGTTTTGTGCTTTCTGAGGGGGTGCGGTGGCGGAGCGGTACGTGCGCTCGTCTCCGAAGCGGAAAGTCCAGGTTCGATCCTCGGTTCGGACACGGAATTTTTTCCCCCACCCAGCAGTAAATGGGTACCTGACTTAGAGTTGGAAGTAAATGCGGTGTGGAAAGGGAACTGGCCACCCTACCACAGTATGCCGAAGGCCCAGGAAGTTATCTAACTAACGAGGCAATCCCTATGTCTGAATCGGATGCAGGAACAACTTTACTTTTTCAAAGTGCTTTTTGCATTAAAATATATGATCCACAAGGGGGGGGGGGGCAAGATGTAATTGGAATTTAATCAAGGTGACCGACAAGGTGAACACGAGGTTTCTTATCAGTTAGTCCTTGGGTAGCTTCAGAGTAGAAACGTGGAGCTGTTGGTTTTCGCACCATGTCATCATAACTGAAGCTTACTCTTCAATCTGAACAGTGCAGATCGTTGCACAATCCATGTTTGCATGCACGCACGACCATTTGCACAATTTTGCTTCGTTCATTGGCCTTTACATTCGATGGCACGGACAATCATCTTCCATTAGTTAACGACTTGTGTATTTTCAAGTAGCAAGATACGGTGATGTTGCCATTGAGAGAACATAGCAATCTACCTCTTTTTGCTCCAGTGTCCAACCTGATGTCAACATTCCTTTCCCAGATATGTCAGCTGTACAGTGGCGGCCAGATAATCTATGTGCAGGACCAGAAAGTTGTTTACATGGTTCAGGGAGACCAGTGGGTGGGTTTTGAAATCAAGTACACGGTCTCCGAAAAGGTAAGATTACTAGTTTCCACTGGCTTTTTCATGACCTGCTTCTTTCAGCTTCATTTTCTCTCCCTCCCCCCTCCCCAACCCCTCTCTCTCTCTCTCTCTCTCTCTCTCTCTCTCTCTCTCTCTCTCTCTCTCTCTCTCTCTCCTCTCCCCCACTCCTCCTCCCCCCTCCCACCACCCACCCCTGCTCTAGTATATTTATCATTCGACCATTGATGTTCTCTCATTCTTCACATTTTCTCTCCCTCCCCCCTCCCCAACCCCTCTCTCTCCCCCTCTCCCCCACCACAGTGGGAGGTTGGCGGGTGCTCTGGTGTGGTTTACTTCTTCTTTCCTATCAAACATCTATCGTCTTTATCTCCCCTTCTTCTTTTTTATGTTTGTTACTCTCTTGTAACACCTATAATCTTCAGGCTCTCATATTATGACCTTTTACAGTTGCGAGCGCCGTAAAACCTCTACTACTTCAATCTTTCGACCGTTGATATTCTCTCACATTTTCTCTTCCCCCCACCTCTCTCTCTCTCTCTCTCTCTCTCTCTCTCTCTCTCTCTCTCTCTC